GTCCAGGAGGCTGCTCTTGCCAATGCCGAAGGAAGGCAGGGGCTGCAGCTGCAGCTCCTGCTCAAGCTCGTGAGGAACAGGCTATTTCTGGCCTGTTCCCTGTATTCGTGCCTGAGTCTTAGGGGTGGTCGAAACAATGAGGGCCTGAAAAGGCCCCCCGTTTCAGGCTGGAAAAACTCTGGGCCTGAAAGGCCCAGAAATAGGCTGAAACGGAATAGGGCCTGCAGGCCCTCGTATTTCAGCTTCCAGGCTGAAACGACCGGGGCCTGTAAGCCCTAACTTTTAGGCTTTTAGGCTGAAAGTCCGGGACGGGCCCTGCAGGGCCCGTGTGGCTACGCAGTATGCCACAACACGGCTACTTGGACATCTGTGTGATTTCGCAAGTTGGCTTTCTGCATATCGTTCCCACTCATATTCCTTGCACATGAGAGGTGTTGAGAAGTCAGGCTTTCTTTATCAAGCAGTGTGTGTTTATTAGGTGTGCTTTGGGCTTTGTTATTCTATTGCTCACATATGCTGGTTCTGCTTTGAGCCTTTCGCTGCTGGAACTTTCATGTTTTCGTTAATGGTTCCTTGTGAAGGCTTGTCGGTTTCAAATGAAAAGTGTGACACGCGGTACCGAAAATTCACCGTTTTGGCCGATAGTTTCTGAGCAAAGTTCAGCGAAAAGTTCGAAAACAAACTATACAGGCCCATAGTGCAAACATAAAAAACAGGCCAACGAAAATGAAAAAAAAAAACGAAACCAAACACTCTTCGAGTTAAAATGAAGCGTTCAACGAATCCAACAAAATGCCAACTTTGTTTTCATTAATGATCCAAACATGTCGAAATTGAACACATGACATACCCTAAAGCACCATGATCACACACAAAAAGAACAACACAAAAAAAAAAAAAAAAATCACGGCAGTATGACAGTTTCAGAGCACAACTCAATGAGAAAAACACGCCCCGTTAACCGCATGTGAAAAGTGCTTGGAAAAAAAACGGAACAAAAACTACATATATTGCCATTTGGAATAAAGAGGCTCTTTTGTATTCGGGGTTTGGGCGTTCCTTGTCACCAGGTGACTTCACCGGTACTGGCTCAAATTTTCCTATGGCTGGTATCATTGGAAAAGACGCTCAGATAATTCAACTTCTGGACTTGACAAAACAGGCTCGTGAGGACTGGTGGTTTACAACACCCTGCTCCCACTCAAACCAAGTGTGTCAGAATAGGACGCTTGTGGGACCTCACCTCTGTCTCTGGATCATAGCATCACCATATATCCACACGAGATCCTATTGAGACCAATAGCAGTAGTGAAATGGTCAGGGTAAGGCTAGAAAGGTGACTCAAGGACGATGCACGCAGATACAGTCCACTCCTGCCGAGGCCACCAATTCCCATTGAAGCCCGTACGAGTACTGGACCAAACACCTTGAAGGACAGTCCAAAAAGCCGAGCCAGGCCAAGAAATGAACAATCTGCGAGAACTGTGGGGAGTAGACGGGATGAGCTCTAGAGACCAACAAAGCGAACAGAACAAAGACTGATAATCTGATTACCTTTAAACTAGATGAAAAAATGATACGAAGCTGCCCCGTTCTCACAACCCGCAGCTGCTCAAACACACTCTCGTGCACTGCCCTTGCATATTCCAAAACCATCAACCCAGAAGGGAGCTGATATTCATTTGGTACATCAACGAAAAGAAAATCGTCGACCACTCCACTGTCATACTTGATTTTGAATAGCCGTGGGAGAACTTCAATTGTAGTCTCTGAAATGCCATCCATCACCCCCACCAGCAAGGGCATCACACTCGCACATGTCATCACAGTTGGGCAGAAACCAAAGCAACACCCAGCCAGGAACATAGACAATATACACCAAGTGCCAATTAATACCCTGAACTAATCAAGGTTTCTGAGCTTGTGATTCTGCAGCTGGATGATGAACAAATAGAAAGTGTGGCATGGAGAGATGGGTTTAAGACCAGGAGAGATGGGTTTAAGACCAAATAACAAATGCAACCGCCTTGGGGCCTGCCGGGGCGGATTGGATCTTGGGTGATTTAAACTGATTTTGCGCCAGCCCAGTCATCTGTATGTGCAGGCCGCAGAGCAGGCAGGTCCCGTGCAGGCTGACCCCAGCTGGTCCGCCCAGCTGGTAGCCTATTATGATAGTATTATCTTTTATAATACTCAAAGTGAAAAGCGGTGCTCGTAAGACACCGGCTGTGCGCCCAAGGGAAACTCCTTTCCCATGGGCAGCCTTTCCCAATCGAATCATCAGCGGCCCAAGGGAAAAAAGTTCAAAAAACTTCTGCGCTGGTGGGTCCGCCCCCAGATAAACCATTTGAGGGAGTTCGAGATGCTTGTTGCAACAGCTCGAAGCAAATGTTTCCGTGGCACTCCTTTCATTCTGTTTTGGGTGATTCCTCATGGGCCCGGTTTCTCTTTCTGTTTTGGGTGATTCCTCATGGGCCCAGTTTCTCGTTTTCTGCAGGCGCCGGTCTTTGTCACAGCGATTCCGATTCACACTCTGTCATCTGCTGGTGGGGCATGTTTGAACACAAGTACATAGCAGACTGATTCGGAAGGAAATAAGACATGTAGCCGGTGCACAAGCTCGAACCCCTGTGAAGCAACAGGATATTAAAGTTTTTTTCACTTTCTTCTGAAGTCTCTTTTTTGAGGAATTGAAGTGAGATCTGTGTATGAACAGTTGATACGTGTGCCATTCTTTTCTTTTTTATTTAAAAAAAAAACAAGGACGATGGCTTTGAGATATTGTCAGTGAACTGCCCTCCGCTCTGTAATCCAGAATCAGTTTTACGGCCTTGCTCCACCACTCAAAGAAAAAATTATAGGGGTGCACCTTTCATGCTCTAGCAGAATATCCGTTCCCATTTTTGCATATTTGACGAGTGTTGGAGCAAGGTTTTTACTCTGTTTGTCTGATATCATATGGATTCCGCCTTAAGCCTGTATTTCAACAGTTCATGGGTGTGCCATTTGAGCTGAGCCCGTTGGTTATTCTGTTCATGTGATTGCATCTGGATTCAAACTTGGGTCCGTATTTCAACAGTTCATGGGTGTACCATTTGAGAGAGGCCTGATGGTATCTGTGTACCATTTAGCCACAAACACTCTGCTGTTTCCTTTTCTGTTCTCCCCCCTCCCCCTCTTGTTTGTGTTTTTTTTTTTTTTGGGGGGGGGGGCGTTTCTAGAACTCAGCCCACATAACATCCCCACCTGCACGACACTGTCCTGTCCTGCCTGTACTGTGCCATCCAGTCCACATTCTATATGACCCACCCTGCACTACAAAACACGCCCAACCCCCATTGCACTGCCCAGTCCACAGAGTATGACCCACCTACACCACACTCGACTGCCCTGCCAGATATTATACTGCCTGGTCCACATGATATGACTCACTGCACGTGGTACGACCTAGCACTCAGCCCACATAACATCCACACCTGCACGACACTGTCCTGTCCTGCCCGTACTGTGCCATCCAGTCCACATTCTATATGACCCACCTTGCACTACCAACCCCCATTACACTGCCCAGTCCACATAGTATGACCCACCTACACCACACTCTACTGCCCTGCCAGATATTATACTCCCTGGTCCACATGATATGACTCACTGCACGTGGTACGACCCGCACTCAGCCCGCATAACATCCCCACCTGCACCACACTGTCCTGTCCTGCCCGTACAGTGCCATCCAGTCCACATTCTATATGACCCACCCTGCACTACAAAACATGCCCAACCCCCATTACACTGCCCAGTCCACATAGTATGACCCACCTACACCACACTCTACTGCACTGCCAGATATTATACTGCCTGGTCCACATGATATGACTCAGTGCACGTGGTATGACCCGCACTCAGCCCGCATAACATCCCCACCTGCACCACACTGTCCTGTCCTGCCCGTACTGTGCCATCCAGTCCACATTCTATACGACCCGCTCCGCACTACAAAACACGCCCAACCCCCATTGCACCACCCAGTCCACATAGTATGAACCACCTACACCACACTCTACTGCCCTGCCAGATATTACTGCCTGGTCCACATGATATGACTCACTCCACGTGGTACGACCCAGCCTCCATAGTATTGCCAAGGCCACATGATACCGCCCAGTCCCCATTATACCGCCAAGGCCACATGATACTGCCCAGCCGACACTGTACCGATTGTACCGGCCAGTCCACTATACCACAGTGTGTTGCCCTGCCAAATACTACTGCCCGGCCCACATGATATGACCCACCGCACGGGGTATAACCCAGCCTCCATAGTGTCGCCAAGGCCACATGATACCACTCAGCCCACTTAGTCCTGCCTGGAAGCAGCGACGGGCGAATTCTGCCTGATGCTGGCCGTGTTTTTTGCTTGGGTTGGCGTCGCTCAGTCTGTGTTCTTCTTTTGTGGACGGAGGGGAAATGTGTGTATAAGCACCGTCCAGCGGTCCGCCCCACATGGTGTCAGCAGGCTTGACAGAGAGATTTTGCCCACGCCCATTGGCCACGGCCAGTGACCCACACTTAATGACTTGTTATTCTAATACATAGGACGTAGTTGTAAGATAAGATATTAGATATGATATTCCGTCTTTCTATCCCCATCTATGTCTGCCACAGTGGAGGCTGAAGAGGTTGAATAATACGGAAGTCACACTTGCAATGAGAAGAAAGATTGCAGCATTCTCGCGCAACCAGTTCATGCAGCTCGAAAAGACAGTTCACTATTTGGATCGTGATGAAACACAGTCCGATAGTCGCTTCCACCTTCACCTGGGAGTTTGTCGACTCATTGGCAATAGGTTCACTGAAAAATGGCACGGAAATAATCATAGTACTGCTCAAGACTGTCATTCTGGGTCCAGCACCCAAGTTTTGTACGGAGTCCATGCACTGAAAGGATTACACATGTCTCGATGTCTAAGCCCCCGACCCTGTCCCAAGTCTAGAGTCCCATGTACCATCATAGGTCCCATACGACCCGTCCAGATGGTAGGTCCGGTAAGTTAGGTACCCTGGTAGGCCCAGGTTGTTAGTGATCTGTCGATCTGTCAGTCCAGTCGCAGCTCAGTCCCAGTAAGGCCAACGAAAACTCCAGATGCGTTGGAAGCATGGTAACCGCAGACCCGGACACAGGACACTTCCGGACTGTTTTCCAGACCTGCGTCTGGACCAGTCCGGACATCACCGGACACCAGACTGTCCGAACTGTGTTGGCAGTTCGGACAGTCTGGATCCCAACCCCGTATCCCTATCTTTCCCCTATCTTTCCCGCCAGTCTCCATCCCAACCCCCCATCTTTCTCGACCCTACCTGCCGGTCTCCGTCCCTCACTCCCTGAGCCTCCTTCCTTCCACTGCGTACCTCCTCTCTCCCTCCGCGAACCTCCTCCCGAAGCTCCCGCCGTGGAAGAAAGGACAAAGCTGGAAGAAAGGACAAACCCGGAAGAGAGAGAGAGAGAGAGAGAGAGAGAGAGAGAGAGAGAGAGAGAGAGAGAGAGAGAGACCTGCTTCTTGGACGTTGGCGGCGGCTGGCTGGTTCGTCGGCGAGGGCTGGACGTTGGCGGCAGCTGGCTGTTTCGTCGGCGATGGCGGCTTCCTCGTGGATGGCTGCGAGGCTGCAGGGGGGACGTGACGGGCAGCAGCTGGCGGCTTCCGAACAGCGCGCCCGTGAGATTCAAAAACGGCCAGTTGGAAAATGCTGGCCCTGCCTCCCGCCACCCCACCTGAGTCTGCACAGACTGTGGTGGCTCCGGCCTTCGACCGATGTCCGGTAGGGCGAAAAGACACAAAAATCGGCCCAGTATTTTTCCGGGGCCACCGAGGACCCGAAAAATGTCCTTGGCGGCCCCTTTTTTTTCCTGATTTTTTGTTGGGGCACCCGGTTCCGGATGTCCAGGACCGGACACCGGACCCTTACATAATGTTTGGGGGTGTCTGGAAACCGGTCCGGACGTCCGGTCGGTTACCATGGTTGGAAGCCAACCGCGGTTGACAACGGTACAGGTGGAAAAGACCAAGATTGGGAAGCGCAGCAAGTACAGAAGTACAGCATCTGCAGAGCGTCAACACAATTGGCATTCCTGCCTGTCACTGAGGCGCCGTTGTGGTCTTATGCCGTCAAGCAGCGGGTGAGGCTGGAAGTAGTCTGTAATCGATGGCTTGGCGCCTTACATTAGCACAGAGAGAGAGAGAGAGAGAGAGAGAGAGAGAGAGAGCTGTCTCTTATACACATCTAGATGTGTATAAAGAGAGAGAGAGAGAGAGAGAGAGAGAGAGAGAGAGAGAGAGAGAGAGATGGAGGGAGGGGGGTGGGTGAGAGAGAGAGAGAGAGAGAGAGAGAGAGAGAGAGAGAGAGAGAGAGAGAGAGAGAGAGAGAGAGAGAGAGGGCGAAAGGCCTAAGGGCAGAGTATGTCTGAGGTTGAGTAGGTAGAGAGAGGACTTGCATCGAATGCCTATACATAGGTATGGCCCAGGAGCAAGAATCACCAAAGTGAGGAGAAACAGCAATGCAACGCACTGGGCGCTTGGGAAAAAAACACCAATCTGACTCACCCAACTCTGGACTCAACATGCACACGAATCATCAAACATGAGACAGGCAAGAAGGGGGACAGACATAAAAGAAAGATCCCTCCTTGCCTCACACACACTAGTACAACGAATGATGGAGGAAAAAGACGAAAAATGTGGGGTAAGAACAAGGAGAAGAAAAAAACAAGACTGTGACTCAATGTCTCAGCTGAATGACCAGTCTCTCGCTGTTGAGTCCGAGTCTGGGAGAAAACTCTTGAAATAGTAACAAAGTCTCTCATCTCTGTCTCTCACTCTCTCTCTAGAACAGAAGAGAAGAGAAGTGGTGGATATGGAAGGGGGGATTCGAGGAAGGAGAAAGAAGAAGAAGAGGAGGAAGAATAAGAAAAATCGCCCTCTCTCATGACCAAATTCTGACCAGTGAAAGATGAAGTGTTGAGCTGTCATGAGCTGCAGGTGGAAGGTCATTTCCAGCCGGTGCCGAAAACCCAATCCATGACACCCAGGTGAGTGCTCCACCGGTGCACTGCTGCTGAAGACCTCCTCTCCTCTAGTCCTCTACTCTCCCCATGCACTAGCACCAACTTTGACGCTGCTTCTGCTGTCTGACAGGCGCAGGCCTCAACACTGCATATCACATCTGAGCCCAGGCCCAGCTATTTACCGCTGGGCCTACTGGGAGTGGCCTCTGCTTTGGCCTGTCTCCTAGGCTGTCCGATTGGACCTTCGTATTGGTCTAGGACGTGGGCTATCCAAGGCCTGAAGTCCTGGTCCTGGTGCAGCTGGCCAAAAAACCACCTGCCCGGGTCCCTACCAAATTCCAGGTATTCCTCAGAAAGAACAAGGGGCTGGACCACAGAAAAGACAAACCGGTCCAGCGCAGCCCAAAACAAAGTGCTTCAGGCCTAAAACTCAGCCACTGGGCCTGAAGCTGGCCCAGCCGGTCCAACAGGCCAAATGTGCCCGTTTGGACAGGACAACATCCAAACAACACATCCCAGACCACAGAAAACCTGGAACAGACCCAAATACTCTGAAACCTAATAAGGGTCCTCAAGCAAGGCCCAAAACATGGCCGCAACCCTGGGACAACCCAAAAATGCACTGCTTGTGGCCCAGGATCTGTGCTGGCCCGTGTGAGCTCTGTGCATTGGACTGAGTGAGAGAGATACCTGTTTCAGAGTGCTGGCGGCCATAGCCGCCCTAGTGTGCATTCCAGAGACTGTCGTATAATACTTCAACCTGCAAGCACTTACCAAGCGTTCTCAGACTGTGTTGGAGTGCATCTCGTGTGTGAAGCTTTGTGATGACCTGTGGACTTGCTGTTGTGTGACAAGTGGTGCGAACTCATACGATCCATGCAGCATATAGCTAAGGTCACCAAGTGCATCTCCCTACAAAAGTCAAAAGGGCAAACTGCTTCCACAATTGCCATCTCCTTCATAGTCCATACCTTGCAATTGCTACCTTCTCTACCAACCACAGCTACTGTGAACCGGGACACTGGACGGATCCAGACATCTGCCCAGACTCTTCTCTGCTTCAATCTGGACGTCCGGACATCCAGCCCGGTTGGTCTGGATGGGGGACAGAGACTCTGGATATATCCGGATATATTAGTAAGGAGGGGGGAGGAGCCATATATCTCATAATATACACAAAAAAACACAGGCCCCATGGCCGAAGCAATAGAATCGGAAGGGGAAACCTGAATCCCTGAGTGGATCAAGGCAATGATAATGGCCGGATGCACTGATAGTAAGCCATGGCTCTGGCAAAAGAAATTTGGCTGCCTGAGTTTCCATGCCCACAGAGGCAAGGTAAGCCATGGCCCTGGCAAATGGAAACAAGCAAAATGAACCAAGCCCATGTGGCTGAATGTCACACCCACGAACCCTTCATAACCACACCAAGTTCGAATCCTGGTTATCAATCCAATAAGAAAAGGGCTTCGATCCACTCCACAACATTCAAATGCATCTGGACTGAACACGTTCATACTGACCGAACATGGTGAATTATTGGAGACCACAATCAGCCTCAGTAAACTCAAAATGCTGACTAGTGGAGCAAGGCCGTAAGCCGGCCTGAATTACCTGGGGTACATAAGTTCCTCAAAAAAAAAAAAAAAAGCAAGGTAAGCAGCTCGCTACACAAGAAGAAGAAGGAAGAAGACAAACGACAAAGGAGGCGAAAATGAGCATTGAGTCTAGGCTGTTTTCCCGGGCGCCCGGGCACCCAACTTCTGCCCGGGTACGCGCCCGGGTGCCCGGCCGGGCACGACCCCCGGGCAGGGTTCCAGGCAGCCCCAGCGCCAAAAAAAAAAAAAAAAAAAAAAAAAAAAATCAAAAAAATTAAATTCCAGGAAAAAAATATGTTGTGTAGGATTGAAATGCAAACCACTTTTGGCTGAGGGTCACATTATAATTCCTCACAGAATCGGAGATAAAAAAGAAAATAACAGAATCACACAAAGGCACCCCCCTTTAGACCCCTTTAGCCCCTTTAAAACCAATTTATACCCCCCTCCCCCCCCCTTGACAGCCAACTCGCAAAAAACGAAATGAGCCCGGATTTGGAGTCCTCTGGGAGAGCGCAGAAAAGCAAAAAAAAAAAATCTTTTTCTTTTTTTTTTTTTTTGCACGCCCGGGTACCCCGGGCGTCACGCCCGGGTGCCCGGCCGGGCGTGAGAATCTTCCTAGCATTGAGTGGTAAAAAAAGTAAAGGAAATAAACGAACATCCCGTTTCCTTGATGTTTCTTAAAGCTAAGAAACGGGGAGCAAATGGAGGGCATATGCTTTCTAATGAATAATGCCCATAGTTAAAGCCCGATACATTTAAATTTAATATGTTTCCTGTTGTGTCTGTCATTTTGTGGATTTGGGGATGTTGGAACCTCCCAATATATGGAAGGGGATCAGTGCTTAAAGAAAGCTAGCTGTAACTGCGGTCAGATACATCCAAGAAATTCTGAAGCATTCACTAGAGCTTGAAATTGTTTTCTTTTTCCATGTTCCTTTCTTTCTATGCTTTGTTCGGAAGGGCCAGAAACAAACATTTTTTGGAGGGGGGCGCCTGGGACCCGAACCATCGTCCCAGGTGGCCCCACAAACCACCACTACCTCCTAGCCTCATTTGGCCGGGGCAGAAAAGAACTGTTCACCAAGCTTTGCCGACGTGCCACTGCAACGTTTTTGTTTTCCTTTCAGGCTAGCACCATCAGCCATTTTGATCCAGTAGCACTGTTCACCTGAAGAATGCTGTTTATGGTATTCTGATGTTTCAAGTTTGCCTGTGAAAGGTAGTGGATGGTTTAATGATTGGGCGAGGGCCCAATACTGGCATTCCCAACGAGATAACAGACCCGGACATCCAGATCCAGTCAGTCCGCATTCCAATCCGCACGTGCGGCCAGTACCCATGCAACAAACATCCACTCAACAGGAGTGAGCTCTTTGATTGAATATTGCAACTTTAGTGTGCAAGTCCCTACCAGATTCACAGCGAGAGAGCAGTTCAATACCTCCTGCCCTTCATCGAGTTTCAAACGGGAACCACTGATTTACAAATCTTATTAACAGAATTTAGCAAACATTGTCAAATATTATTGCTCTGCGATTGTGCATTCTTTTCTTGGCTGGGGTATGCACTTGCGAGAGGGAATAATGACCATGAGATGGACCACCTACCAAATCCACGGCCCGGATTTGCTCCACATAATTCACAATGCCAAATGTCCTGAGAAACCACAACCACCATAGCCACAACCATGCAGTGCACAACCGCCACAACTAGACTTAATCAGCAGATTCACATAGTGAATAAACACAGCAGATTCGGCAAAGTCTACCAGTGATATAGACATTGTAATAAGCAACACGCACTCAGGAGTCCTCGAACGCAGCAGCGAGAGCTCTGCACCTGGCCCCAGTGCCATTTTTGAAACTCCCAGCAGACAGGCTAATCTCTCTTGGCACTGTTGCAAGGCGCTATGTCAGGAACAGGGTCTGAACGCGCTTAAAATAAGAAATGACAGATACAGGGCACACATGGTTGGATAGATGCTTGGACCGTGTCTGGGTCTGGCAAGTGAGTTCTAGTTTGAAACCTTTCCGAACAGAGAACCAGACAACCTTGGTAACAGCTCCAAACCCACTCCAAAAGGGCATGTTGAAAAACAGCAGGGTGTGAGTACGTGTGTTAGATCCTGCTGCTACCGCTGGGCCAGGACGCAAGGTCTACACAAACTTGCACATGCGAGGCCACTGCCTCTATGAGCCCCATAAGGCCCCATTTTGCAGCCCGCCGGCCGCCCTAAGTGAAGGCAGGCTCGACGAGGCCCTCAGGGCCCTACTCTGGCCACCACGCAACTCAGGGAAATTCAGGCAGTTGCGCAGCGGCAGTTGGTTGAGTGAACCCAGGGCCTGGGCCGCCTGTGTGAATGTATGTGAAGCAGGCCCTGGGCTGGATACGGGTACTGGGCGAAGCACAGGCCAAAGGCAGTTGGGCACATGCAACCACCTCAGGCCCAAGGCCTGTTTTCGCTCGTGCTGGGCCTCAGGCTACCGAGGCCTACTGGAAGCTTCCTGGGACTGGACGCAGGCAGGCCACTTCGATATAGCAAAGGGCCTGCCTCCTCATTCGGTATTCGGGTACTGGCCGCATGCTGCGCTATTTGCTGGCTGGCGCCTACGCTCTCACGGGCGAGCAGGAAGGAGCGGGCAGCCATAGCCGAGCTGCTCCGCTGTGAGCTGGGTGTGGCGCAGGGTGG